TCTGGCTAGCAGTTGGCAGAGCCAACTACTGCTCTCTGCTCTCAAGGACCATTTCACCGAGGGAAAGAGGTAGAACACCTACCCACATAATTGTAATTCCAGCTAAAGCATAGTAACCGGCCTAGGTAAGTCCAGATCAATTTCGATGAAGTTCAGGTGAACACAGATTACACCAAAATAAAGGAACCGAGAGATAATTTTTTTTGTATGGGGAATGGATTGTAAGGGAAGAAGGGGGATAAAAGACATAAAAGAGCATAACTATTATTTTTAACATAGTTAGCTAGATATCAATAAAAGAAAGCACAAAGCAAATCAGACGCAGCCTGTTTGTTTAACCCGGAAGCTATAGCTTCACACTCCTGCCCAGGGAACCACCAGTCTCTGGGTCACTGGGGGAACAGGTAGGACAAAGAAGGGGGAGGTAAGGACAAGCCCCTAGAAGTCAAAATGGTGCAGGGGGAGGTGTTTGACCACAGAGGCCTGTCAGTCTAACCCAGGAAAGGGATTATTGGTCAAGGGGCGGACCCATCAGAAGCCCTCAAAAGCTTGGAAAGTTGGTTATTTTTAAAAAGCTTCTTGTTGTAGCCCCAGGGGAACAAAGAAACTGTCTAACTCTCTCTCTCTCTCTGTCTTGTGCACGCACACTTTTGCACTCTTAGGAACCCACATTCAGCCTGTGCTCTCCTGTGTTTTCTCTCCATAACCATGTGGCCCTGGATACTGCAGCCCTGTACTAAGCTTTAATGGCACAGGATCTCTGGGCATTGGCCCCATTTCTGGCCCTGATTTTCCATGGCAGGATGGGCAGAGATGGGATACTGGAAACCCAGGACGTTCACACTATCGATTTTGCATGGAGCACCCATGTACATCTTACTGCCAGACCTTATCTCCTTTTGTGGGTTCCTGAAAATGCTTTTCCTCGTGACACCACGAGGACCCCACTTCCACCAGCAACCGTATTATTTCATGCCACTTTATTTGTCAGAGTAGAAGACACCTTACATTTGTTATCTTCTTCGTTGTAGGGAAAAACCATACACATATTACTCCATGTTGCAAACAACTAAGTCAACCAGTCACTCAACTGACGCTTGAACCCAGAACCCCTGAAGGTATAAGTCATCCTTGTTTGTTTGTTTGTTTGTTCCACATTGACTACATTTGTTTTTGATATTTACTGGGTATGTTCAACTTTTGCTAATTTCTCATCCCAAAGAAAGAATACTTTTCTAACTCACATGAAGTGACTAGGTGACTAGCTGCAGGACAAGGCAAAGGAATCCCAACTATTCTGTCCCCAGGGAAGACCCCTGTGGGACTTCCTGGCAGATTTAGAGAAACAGACAGGAAAGCAGACTGACTCTCATTTTCCTTCATCCTCCTCCTCTCCACCTCTGTTTCCCTCCTTCCTCCTTCCTTTGTTCTTTTCTATAATCAGTTCAGAACTACGATGTGGCCAGTACTGGGCCAGAGAACTGGACAAAGTCCTTGTCCTCATTCAGCCTCATCCAAAGCAGAGACTGTGTCACTTAGTGGTTAAAGCAAGACTGCCAGAGTGCTTGTCCCAGCTCAGCCACCTAACGAGCTGCGCTATTTTCGCAAGTTACTTAACTCTCTGCGTCTAAATTCCTCTTCTTTGACAGACCAACCTCAAACGGGTGATTAAGAAGATAAAAGGAGTTAAAGTATACAGAAAGTAGTAGCACCCTGCCTGGAAGATGGTGAGCATTATAGAGATGTAATAATCACTCTATTCTTCTTCAGCTTTTTAGAGAACATGGATTAGGCTGTCCAAAGTCTGGGAGATATGACAGCTCAGTCTCTTCTCTCAAAAAGAAGAAATCAATCTACTGTCAGAGATAATCTTCAGGGAAGGAGTGTCCTTACCTCATGGCTAGAAGAAAATCCTCCATCTCTGTTTTACAAGGCCATTCTCAATGGGTGAAAGAATGCGGCTGAATATACCGGTGTCTAAGTCAAGACACCCTGCCTATTAGCAGATCCTACAAACATTTCTTAGACTGTTAAATTCCTTTCAAGTTATTTAGTATAAGTGTGTGTTCCACTGAGAAGAAAACTGCCTGAAGGCAAATAGGGTAGGAGTAAGAAAAATTTGGTTGACTAGACATGCATTTTTTAACAGCAGAATTGCAACCTCATTCATCTTGGTAAACACAGTTTAGTGTGTGGAATGGTTTTAGGGTTTTTAAAATAGCTAGTTTCTACTTTAGGTGTTTTTCATATCCTTTATTTCTCACTTCATGGTAGGTACCACCAATCCAATTTTATGGATAAGAAAACCTTAGGATGAGCTTGTTAAGTAATTACAACCTTACAAAATGCAGAACTGAGACTGAAATCTAGGTCTAACTATAAAGTCAGTTACCTTTTTCCATGTGAATGTCTCAAAAAAATGTTCAGCGAATGAATATAGAACTAAAAGCAAATGCAGGAATGCTTTTGCACTGTTGGTAGGAATGCAGACTGGTGCAGCCACTGTGGAAAGCAGTAGGGAGATACCCCCCCGCAAAAAAAAAACAAATGTTCCTTTTGACCCAGCGATCCCACCTCTGGGAATATATCCAAAGAAACACAAAACACTAATTTAAAAGAACATACGCACCCCTATGTTCATTGCAGCGTTATTTACAACTGCCAAGATATGGAAGCAGCCCAAGTGTCCATCAGTAGATGAGTGGATAAAACAACTATGGGACATTTGCACAGTGGAATACTACTCAGCTGTAAAAAAAAAAAAAATTATACCCTTTGCGACAGCATGAATGGACCTAGAGAACATTATGCTAAGTGAAACAAGCCAGTCAGAGAAAAACAAATATCGTATGATTTCACTCATATGTGGAATCTAATGAACAAACTGAACTAACAAGCCAAACAGAGACAGATTCATAGAAGATGACAACTACTAGGGAGAGGAGGGTGTGGAGGGATCTAGCAAAAAGGAAAAGGACTCGTGGACATGGAGCAGTGCAGCGATTGTGCAGAGCAGGTATTAGAGGGATAATTGGTAATGGAGAAGATACAATAAAATTTTTTTAAAGAGTTCCTTTTATTTCAGATCCATGATCCCAAAATAGGAGTCTGGATAAAGAATATTTCTTTAGGTCATTTTGCTGTCCTTTTGTTCAGGAGGGCTCAAGGCCAAAAATATAAGCCAGGTAGTATAAAAGTAGATACATGTCTAGAAATAACATTGGCATTTACAGGAAGATGCACTAACTGGACCTTGGGAAATAAGGTGTTTAAATTTCAGGTTATGTACCACTATTAAACCACTCCCTGAAGGAAAAAAAAAGCAATACCTAAAATTCCAAACTTTTGATGTGAATTTTGCAAAAATCCGTCTTTACTTTATGAGTTATCATATAAGACACTGAACTGCTTAAATGATGTTTCCCTTTCGCTGAGATCATTCAATTGCCTGCTCACTTAGATTGATTTAAATGAGATGTCAGAAGCAGCAAATGCAGCTAGGATTGCTTCACCAACGGTAAATAAGAGAGGCACCTTGCTCAAGACTCATCTACTCCCGGCAAGCCACCACCCAGCTCAGACTTTCCCGCCACACTCCTCCAGATGCACACCCAAGTACTTGTGGTTCCAATGACAGGGCACATGGCAGCCCTCCTGAGCTCTGTTTGGGTACAGCCGTAAAGCACCAAGTGGCAGAAGGGGACATCCAGCGCCCACTGCTTTCATCTGATCAGTCTTTGCTTCATATCACTCTAATCAGTGTCTGCTATTTTATGCCTCTGATTCATTTCTTATTAGATCCAGGAAGAGAAGAGGAGATGAAATATTATTAGCTTTTCTACTAGACCGAACCACTCTCACTCGACTCGGCCTACTCAGTACTACTTCTGAAAAAAATGGAAGCAGACACTTATAGAGAAGCCACTCTTCATTTCCCCTCGTGCGGTGCGTGGGTGTGATGTCCTTGGCCTAGACCACAAAATGTTCTTGCTAGCCCTACCAGGAAATTGTCCCCTGGTCACAACCAGTCTGCGATCGTTTTCATGGAAGTAACGGAGAAAAGCGGGTGGAGAGCAGCTGCGGAAGAGCACCTGCTGAGGGACTGCAGTTGGCACCCGGACCGCCGCCTCCCACCCTACCTGCCTGGCCCACCGCCTCCAGAGTGGCGCAACAGACTGGGAAGGCAGTGTGAGCTCCGGACGCGGACGCGGGCCCTCTGAAAGTCACACTCTCCTCCCAGGGCGCATACCTTGCCAGCACACGCCTTTCCATCCGCCTCCTAACCCACCCTGCTACCTGCGGACCAAACAAGAAGACGACCTTCCCTGTACTTCGTTGCCACGCCCCTCCTCCCCCCCAGCCGCATCCTAGCCGAGCCCCGAAAGTCTGTTAAAAGACAAGACACTTCCTACGTACCCTCTGACCACCAGCCACACCCTCGACCCCACCTCCTGCGGCAACCAGGCCAAAGTCGCTGCCGGCCCTGGGCGGGATGCTAGTGAGAAGTGCACTGAGTACCTGCCGGTCGGGAACTATCCCCGACAGACTCTTTGGTCAAGGAGAGTAAGAAACACCTCGCCAGGAGAGTCTCCGTGCAAAAAGCCTAGAACGTGAGCCCCTCCTGACCGAAAGCACGCTGGCATGCACAGCGCTCCCCGCCCGGAGGGGCCCCCTGAAGCCCCCCGGAGCTCCCCCACTCCCGACGCGCGCGCCCCAAACTAGCGCCGGTGCGCCCCCAACAACTCTTGCGCCACCGCCGGCGCGCAGAAAGACGCTAGCTCTCCTCTGGAGGCAGCTTTTCGATTTTTTTGTGTGTGAGTGTCTATATAAGGGCTCACTGGCAAACTGCGTTCGGAGTGTTTGTCGCAGGCGTGCTAGTAATTTTTACCCATGCGTGCGCACGGTTCCTGGGGCGGCAGGGTGCAGACGCACACTCGCCTCCTTCTCCAAGGGCGCCTCCCCTTCTCTTCCTCCTCCCACCCTCCTGGTGAGTCCATTACCTGGTCTCCGGCACTGGGTGGGCCCTGCAGCCCTCCGTTCCCTCTTAGTCGTAGCCGATTTGCCTCGCTGCCACTGGGTGAATGGAATTATTTATTTATTTATGTCCACTGACGTGTCCTCTCTGGCCACAGCCGGAGGTGGAGGGAGAGGAGGAGGAGGAGGCAAGGAGGGGAGGCGCGGCTGCTGAGTACTCCAGTGGGTGCCAAGGAGCGCGCCCTGGGTGGGGAAGGGGAGGATGTAGTCGTGGAGAACCCAGGCTTTGCCGGAACCCAACGGTCTGGGATGGGGTGGAGGGGACCGCCACCCTGTGACTCAAGGAGGAATGAGCATGCTCGGGTGACTCCACTTCACGTTTTAGTTTTGACCAACAAGAAAGGCAAAAGTCTAGTAGAGACAAGTTACCAAGATTCGTCCGCACAGGCTTTAAGCGGAGTACTCTGGCGCTTAACCTAGGAGCCGGGCAGGCAGTAGCTCCAAGTGGATACCCCAGGGAGTTATGCAACCTATAAAAGCCTGCAGGAGAGAAGCCTGGCAGAGTGCAGGACGATCGGAAGATTCCCTTTGTGAGCTTGGAGGGCAAATGTTGGATTATTTTTCAATTGAGGTCTTTTGGAGGGAGCGATAGAGTGGGGATGGCAGTGGAGATTAGGCTCACCAACCAAATCACTCTAAGGAAAAAATAAAATAAAATTTTCACTGTGGGAGGAAGAGTTTAGAAAATAGTACAAGAACTTTAAAATAGATAAGAATAGAAAGAAAGTCATTTGTAAATAATCCCTTTCATTTCTAGTTTCTCAAGTGATTGAATCCTTCAAAGTAGGAATTGGTTATTTTACAATGAACAATGTTAGGAGTAAGGCTAATCCCACAGTCGTTGGTTGGGCCGCTTCTGCCTTTCTCTCTCCCTTGTCTACAGCATGTTTCTTCGGGAAATTCGAAACAGGAAGGGCTAGAAATGAACACTGAGGCTGGTTTTCTTTAATGTCTTGAAGGTTGAATTACTACTGAAAGAAAAAGAAAACCGTCCAGAAGAATAAACACAGGCTTGGATTTGAGAATTCATATTGCAGTTTTTCTGTCAATTTAACTGACCCCACACCCCATTGCTGCCTCTAAAAAGTGAAAAAGATAAAAGGTTACATTAATCTAGATAATAATATAACTTCCTAGAAGGTTTTCTTTGTTTATTTTAGAACTTAAATCATTTATAACAAACCAAGATAAATTACCTAAAATAGAGCCCAAAAGACAAAGCAAAATGGTAATAATAGTGAAAAATTACACTTATTTAAGTCAGTGGAGGTTCAGACTGAGTCACCCCAAGGGATGCGTCTGTGGTATATAAATTGCTTTGAACTAAAGGCAACTTTAGCCACAGACTCGAGAGAAACTTCTGTCCCTAACTTTACCTACTAGACTATGAATTACGGCCTTTTCCCTTGTGATTGTCAAAGATAGCCTCTTTTGACTTGGCTTTCAGCCAGAGTAAATGTCTATTTCCTAAACCTCTGTGGTTCTTATTGCCTCCAATGACCCTTTGAAGTGCTCAAGGTACATTATCTCATCCCTAGTGCAGGTGTCCTACATACCTGGGCCTGCCTTTGCATCTCTGAACCTCTTGTGTTCGGGGAAGGCAGGGTATGTATCATATTTAGTTCTTTTCTGTGTATGTATCAAATTTAGTTATTTTCTTTTGCTAATCTGTGTCATGTCTATTTGGCTGTTATAACAGCCAGGAGAGCCATGAGGGTAGGGGAACATTTCTTCTTCCACACAAGTGCTTATCATTGTCAGGCACTGTTCTAAGAACTTATATGGATAATCTCAATTAATACAATGACCATATTAGGTTATTCAGCTTTTAAAATTTGAAGACAAATTAAGTCACTTAGCAAAATTCACATTGCCTTCTGCCATCGCAAGCTAGGACAAAATTTGAATTTTAGTGTCTGAAGGCACAAAGCAGAAATAATATCCACCTTTTATTGTTATCATGAGATTTAAGTGAGATATGTGAAGAGAAATGTAGATAATATGAGATAGTGAATGGTGGATATTATTAGTAACTTCAAAAGGTTTGGAAGACAGTTCCACAGAGAGAGGGATAGTTTGGAAACTAAGGAACTATGGTAGAAAACTCTAGAAAGGAGTTTAAGTTTTTTAAAGCTAAAATGTGCAAATTGACAAATGTGTAAGATATAGGCATTTAATAATGTTGGAATGTCTAGCAGTGACAATAAACATTTCATTTTCATTACAAAAGAATATTAAGTTTTTAAAAAATTCAGATTCACATTTCAAGGTCCTCTTCTTCTATGTTTGCTAATGACATTTTACCTGCTCATTCATTACCTTTATTTCAAAGAAGAGAAGAAAGAAAAAAGACCATGTATTTTCTGAAGTTTGAGCCTATTCTCCCTTTTCCATCTCTCTGGTCTTTATGTTTTGTCCTGTATTTTTTACAACTTCATGGTCCTGGCCTATTTAACTCATTGCCAAACTCTCTCTATTTTAAAAAGATTTTCTTTATTTATCTTTAGAGGGGAAAAGAAGTAAAGAGGGAGAGAAATATCAATGTATGGTTGCCTCTCGTGCATCTCCTGCTGGTACCTGGCCTGCAACCTAGACATGTGCCCTGACTGGGAATCAAACCACAACCCTTCAGTTCACAGGCCCACGCTCAATCCACTGAGCTACACCAGCCAGGACTCATTGTCAAACTCTTAAACATCACTACCCATAGCATTATATCATAAATGTAGCACGCTTTCTTTTTAAGTCTTGTTTTTCCAACAGTTAAAACTCTGGATCCAGTTTTCCTGCCACCCCACTGTTAGTATTTGGGGCTTCATTGGTGAATCCCCTGGTTGCTATGACTAAGCATGCTATGTAAATATTTGGTTGGATTAGAAAAGAATCTGAAAGGAGAATTAGATGACAGACGGCAAAGCCAGTCAATTTATCACAAGACTACAGTCTTAATTTTGTTCAAATATTGAGGAAAATATGTATGACTTAGGGAAAAAGCAAAGCATATGATCAGAATTTGAAATGCTTTTGATAAAATGTTTGCCTTGATTTCTTTTTATAAGGTCAAATAACAGTAAGAGAAACAAAGTATAGCTATATACTCAATATTCTAAAAACTCCACAAATAAGCAAGCCAGGGAATACATACCCAACAAAAACTCCTTAAGCGCAAACATCTTACGCTGTATAACCGCAGCCTCATGCTCAAGGTTTCCTGACTCTTCATTTCTCAGCCGTACCGTATCTCCTCATATTTTTTTTCTCCGTTCTTATTCCCGACCATTTTCTCCACATCGAACCTGCCTAAACTATTTTTTCCTTTAAGGCCCAGCAAATATGTGATTACATCTGTGGCATTTCAAGGACTCCTTCAGTAAGAATGAATTCCGTCTTCCTCTGTGCTCTCTCCCGTAAGACATGTTGCTTCTATTTAGGACATTTTCTTTCCACTGTACAGCATGGTTATGATCTTCTTGTGTGTCTCCTGACCTGTTAGGCTGTTGGAGGGTAGAGATGATATTTTATTCATATCTGTAATCTTCCAGCATTCAGCGCAAATTCTTGTACATTGAAGGAAATTAATACCGTCTGCCAAATGAAGGAAAGAGATGGTGGTGTGCCATTAGGCAACAGATTTGTGGGAGAGGCTGTTGGTGCTCCCAGGATCCGTGATCTACATGGCACTGTCTTTCTCTGCTTCTCTTCATTATTTTGAGGCCATCTGAGGCCATTAGTTTTAATTAATGGCGTGTGAATGAAGTGAGGTAGGAATTCAGAACGAGGCCCTCAACATGCGCCTCTGTGGTATACGGACTGCTTTGAACTAAAGGCAACTCTAGTCATAGGCTCAGAAGACACTTCTGCCACCCCACCCTTAACAGCCCAGAAAAATTTGAATTAGAGGCCTGGCTTATAAGAGATTACCCGCATTAACCTTTCTCACCCACCTATATGGCAAGGCAAACTTTTCCTTTCTAAACATCTGTTCTTCTTAGTACCGCAAAGGCCCTTTGATACCCTCAAGATGCATGACCTCATCCCTAGCTCAGAGTGTCTTACATACTTCAATCCTCCTTTGTACATCTCTGAACCTCTCGTGCATGTAGGATCTCAGGCTTTCTCATGTCACACCTGAGGTTCCTGTACATGTGTATGTATTAAATTTGGTTATTTTGTCTTGCTAGTCTGTCTCACATCTATTTGACTATCAGCCCGGCCAGAAGAATCTTGAGGGGAGAGGAAAGTTTGTTCCTCCCACGCAGTGGCGTGTCCTGTCTGGGCGACAGGCATTCAGGGCCAGGTTGCCTCCTCATCTCTTGCCTCTCCCTGCCCTGATAGCTTTATGTTTTCAAATGGAGTCGCTACAAAATGGAGTTTTTAAAAGATTGTTAAAAAACTGCTTGACTTGCATTAGGCCCTGTGTGTGCCAGAAACAATTACTGTGTTTAGCCACTGAGATTTCAGGCTTATTTGTCATGAGAACATAACCCAGCTTATTCTGACCAATACAAGGTGATAAACCAATGTGCATCTTACTTAATAAGATGATAAACTATAACAGCATAAAGACCCAATGAAACATGGAGCTTATGAAAATGCCGTAATGTGTGCTAAAATATATATATATATTCTAACCCAAAATTGACATATAATGATCTTTTCATAGAGAAACTCTGTGAGAGCCAAGTTGGGGTGTGTGTGTGTGTGTGTGTGTGTGACTATGTAAACACCACACAATGGATTCATTTTAACTGAAGACAAAAGACTCAATGTCCCAATATTCCCCTCAACCCGAGTGAAAAGGAACCTGCACTTGCCATACAGGGCAGTGAACTGTGTCTGAAATTGTAGCTGAGTAGCCGCTGTGAATATGATGGGTCTGACCTGGTCTCATAGACAGGACAAAATAGAAAAGATATTTTTCCACGGCCTCTAAATTTATATGTTAAGTACATCCATGGAGGCTACTTTGAAAAATCTTATCTGGAAGTATGGGGGTTCAAAATGATTTACCCCAAGATGTCCCTCTACAGAATGCAGCTTGTTTTGAACTAAAGTCAATTTTACTTGCGGGGTCAAGATTTTCTGTCCTTCTCTTAACTACTTAGAAGAACTTGAATAGGAGCCTTGAGCATAATAAGAGATGATCAGAAAAACACTGTTCTTACCTACTTACAGGGCAGGAC